AAAGGTATTTTAATAGGTCGCAGTCGTGCCCTTATTATCACAGATGGCTGTTTGCTTTCTGGGCTCTACATCTGTTCATCATCTGATTAAATAAATAAAGGGGCAAAGTGCGGACTAATTAAACTAATGTCCAGACAAATTGAGTCACGCGATAAACTTTCACGCGATAAAGTGTTTACTTTTCTTGGACTTTGGGTAAAATGGTTCCGACTGTAGTGGTCTTCGTCCTTGGCCGTGTTTCGCCTGTCTTGTATGAGCTAACCGCGCTGAGGTCATCACTTGCGAAACGCGGCTGAGATGGTCCGCACCTCTGACGAAGCTCGCACGCTAAACATCCTGAAAAAACGGCGTCTCGTGTTTTATACAACAGCACACGTCAAACATCTTGAACCAGCGGCTGAACTCGGGCGATAGAGTCTGCGCAAAAATATAAAAAGAAGCAGAAGCGGATTATCTGGGTTACCGTCCTGTGAGCACCTCTCACGCAACTACGCCAGTAGCCGCGTTGTTCTCGTCATTTGGCGACCAGCAGCACGTTATTAGCATGTGTGTGAAGGTAGCACTCGTGTAAACGTGTCTTATTAAACGTCCTACCTGCATATCTGAAGGGGGGATGCTGCCTCGCCGGTCTGCGGTGCCGACATGGTTCTCGTGTTGCAGTGAGATTCGTGTGTGATGTGAAGGGAAATCACTCTCCCGGCGTCCGCCGGCTGCTGTGGTCACAGTGTCTTTGCGAAATGGCTCGATTAGAGGAAATGTGCAGAGCTCGTAGAAATTATCTGCTAAATGTTTTGCAAAATCTGTTCTTTCAAATTGCCCTAAAATAATAAAGTATTATATTATCGATATAATAAGCCAGAGAAGATCCTTTGCATTCCATAGCTTCCTAAATTGGTAAATGAGAAAGGCATGTTTGAGAAACAGAAACCTCAGCTATGTCAATACCTATAATCGCCCAGAGGGGGGCAGCAGAGACCGCACTTTCTCAAACTTCATCCATTCATGAGCAGTATTTTATGCTGCCTGCTGTGGGCGCATTTGACCTCAAAATGCGTCCCAGAGTTTTTGCAGCCAGTGGCGTCAGTTTTGTTCACATCTGCCTGACAACTGTGTCATATAATACTTTGTTCATTAATTTAAAAAATGCATTCAATTCTCTACGCCACGTTTTAGCTCAAAAAACTGAGTTTTTTTATGTACACATTGGTGCTGCATTGTCTGCTTCCTTCCTGTAATATAGGTCAGTTCATACTGCCAGTTTTGCTTTGCAAATTTGCTGCGTGCCTTGTCCTGCCCCTGTCCTTACAGTTAAATCACAGTCATCTTTGTGTGCGAAGGGTCCAAAGAGCGTTTTTCCTTTTATTACTGAACAAACGATCCATATCAATAAACCTGTAAAAGACCAGAAAGTCTAAGCAAAAACACAAAGCGAGATCTAACTAGTTTATTTATTCATTTATTGTACAAAATATACAATACAATTTGCTGTAAACAGCAAAAATACAACACATCCCAACAGAGATACTCACTGCAGACATTTTATGTCTACAAAGTTCATCTGCACAGATTCAGGACTCTGAAGTCTGTTGTGCAAATTCAGACATAAACTGACCCTTTGGGTCTTACAGGGCTGTTTCAATGGCCCCTGATTATTTAGTCCGCGACGAGGACTAAATATTTAACGTATACATACATGCAGATTTTTAAAAAATTCATATATACACGACTGTCTACACTTGTCAGCTTGTACAGGACAAAAGACTCGCGCGCAAAACGAGTATACAATACTCAACCAATATGATGAATTGTTGCTTTTCATCACGGAATCCAAGCTCTTAATCACTGTGTGTATTTACAGGCAATGCTCTCTCAACATTATTCCCAACATTAAACACATTACAGTCTTTTTACAGCTGTCGGAGGACCACTTAAGAAATTTACCAAGGTCTCCACACTGCAGCGCTGGCAGTCTGCGAGTCTGACTGCGCTTGGTTGGGGACCGCTGCGCTGCTGCGTTGCTGGCTCTGCACGCTGGAGCTGAAGCTGGATTTGATGCTCAAGAGTCTCTGATGGATCTGAGGCAAAGTCATCGAGGTCTGGGCGCAGCAGTTCAGGCAGGTTGGGGTGACGGTGGCGGATATGGACTGCTGGACAAAGTCATTGACGCGCTGGTGTGCGTCTGGATCCAAGTTGGTTTGGGGAAGCAGAACAGAGACGCGTTTGAGGCACGCCTTAAAACCTTCCCTGTAATTCTCTGCAGAACCTGAAAAAACAGATAAATGTTAGGTTTGATGTTCATCTAATCTGTTGTTAATACATTTAGAAATAAAAGGGTTAAATAAGTCATAGCTAACTTACTTTTAGCGTTAGCAGGTTGAATGTCACCGAGGAACCGCACGGTCATTTCCAGGATGTCTGCTTTCTCAAGCTTGGAGTAACGAGAGTGCTGGAGACAAAAGGGAAAAGAAGATGTTAGATGTACGAGTCAAAATGCTGTGCTGACTATAGTCAGTTACATCTGCAAAGTGAGCATACTGAAAATGTAAATTCAAACGACTTACATCTCTGCCTGTGAGGGGGATGATTAGGTTTTTTAAGCGGTTCAGACTTTCGTTAATACGGGCGCGTCTTCTTTTTTCCATTAGCGGTTTCATAGTCTGAAACAAAAGGACACATAGAATTTAGTATTCGCTCATTACAACATGTGTGAAGTATGCGGTAAAATATTTAAGGAAATGAAACTAGATTTAGCCACTTCGCTTACCTTTCTCAGTTCAAGAGCTTCTTTTCTTTTGGCAAGAGATAGCTTTGGGGAAAAAGATTGGAGAGCTTCGCATGTCATGTTCGGAGACATTTTCAGCGTCGACTTTGTGCCAGAGTTGTGTTCAAAACCAAGATAGGCGAAGTTGTGCCTCTAACGGCCAAGTACTGGGGTATATATCCAGGTCCGTGGCGTCGGTTTCCGTGCGTCATGGGTACGCCCCCAAGCCGGCACAAAACGATTTGAACGGGACCCACATTTTACGAAAACAAGACAAAAGCATCAAATTTAGTCAGATAACCATCTGTCTTTTACTTTAATCCAAGCGTAGCTGCGGTGCGTGTCTGCGTTATGATCCATAGACCAAACAAAATCTGTGCGTAAAGAAGCTTCCAGTTTTGACGCGTCAAATGCTAATTCATCAAATATCCACTCATTAAGCCATACATTTTACATCATATTTTAAATATGATGTTTTAATACAAAGATAGATTCATTTTTTTCTTACACAGTTAATGGAACTAAATTTTGTTTTGTTTAGAAAACACTACTGGTGCGTAATGACGCAGTGCTCGGAGATGCTTGGAAAGAAAATACAGGCTATAGAATTATTTAGTTTGTAATTTAACTGTGAAATATAACAAGCTACGCATATAAAATCACATTTTATCCGTATTCTCACTTTTCACTGGCTATTATTAAGATTTTCTTTACAGCTGAATTTCCTGTTGCTGTTCAAATCTGTTCGTTTACTGGGATATAATGCGTGCAATTCTGACACAATATTCTTCATATATTCTCTGCATGGAGCTGTGTGTTTAAAAAATAAAAAATAAAAACTTAAAACAAGAGGATGCAGTACATGCATTAGTCGCACAGGGGCCAGGCTTGCATTCAAGAAATAAAGTGTCCACATGGATATAGAATCTTACTCCAGGCATATATACCCAAGCCACGCTACTTTCAAATAACATCTGTTCTTAGAGTTTTACAACAATGGTTTTGCATGTGACGTTTTTATGCAGTCTCTACCCAGGGGAGGTCTCTACCTGTAGGGTGTATCCCACTACAGCTAACGCATCATGCAGTGAGGTGGGGGCTTGAAAAAACAAAGGGTGGGTGCTGTGGGTGCATTTTATTAAATCACAATAGCCATAGCAAAATATAAAAGGACACCAGGTTGTAACTTACTCACAAGGCATTTCAAATGTTTTTGTTCATTTACCTGTCCGTAGTCTAAAAGTATTTAATAACCCAGCAATCTGTCCTGCCAAGTGTGAACCAACTTTAAGTGATAACTGTGATATTATTGTTGTTGTTTAAAATATAAACTGGAGAGGCATGACAACCCATCAAATACCACTGCACTCTGGGGAACCACACGCGCAGCACGCGCCACGGGGACCAGATGGCTGTCTGTTAAAGAGCTCCCAACTCTACCAACCCCCAACCTCCATTAATGACCCCCACACCCCACATACTCCTCCTGCACCTCTGTAGCATCCGGAGTAGGGAGTCTCCTGGTCCAGTCTATGCGCGCGCGCACATACACACAGAGAGACTGTTCCAAACATTTGTGCTCTTTTTCTATAAACCTCACACGCACGACACACGATCTCAACGCGGTTTTTGGCGTGGGTATCTCATCTGCAAGCTTCTAATAGGTCCATGTTGTTAGGGTCCAACTGAAAGAAGCTTTGCATCTATCCCGTTTTACTCTATGCTGCAGTTGTCTCCCATAGCTTGTCTCTGTTTTGTTTTCTTTTTTTAAGCGTCCACGCCATCGTGACATGGTTGTTTATCATAACTACACGATAACAAAGCTCAATCTTTTCACAGAGATGAAATATGTTTGAGCAGGAGTGCATGACTCGATATCTTTTCGAAGGAGTATTATTTTGTCTTACCGGAGAGAGTGGTAGAAAAAAATAAAATAAAACATGACTGTAAAATTCTCAATTCTACTACTAAATTCTCTAATATGATATATATCCTATCTTTCCACCTGGTTCAGTTTGAGTTAATATTTTTTAACGCAATAGAGTATAGGTATAATATTGCAATGGGGTCGATTTGTTAAATCTTAGTTCAGCATTTAAATTCAAATGTAAACAAATAAATACTAAAGGGGTAAAGTATGGAGATCAGAAGCCTAGAAAAGATCTTCAAACGAAGTCAAACCCTGTCCTGAAATTGAGAGGCACACTTGCTGCACGCGCCCCTCGCGCCCTGCTGGGATTGCAGGATGATGGTGGTGGGAGGGGTCGGCTCTTCTCTGTTTCGCTCTTACGGTTAGAGTCCTCTTTTGTGTTTTCAATCAAATTCGGCGTCGACAAACCATCTGTGCAGACCGATAACAGCGAGCCTTTGTCTGAAATGTACCGACACTTCATGGGAATTAAGGGTGGAGAGACTTTTTGCCTCATCTCGAGATTCGATGCTTTTCGACGGAGAGCACCAAATTCAGTATTTTTCTCTAACCATGTACAGTTCACCTATTTTAGTCATAACTATGGAGAAATAAATGAATTGGAACATTTTTCCATTTGTTCCAATTGGAACAAATGGAAAAATTTGTTCCAATTGGAACAAATGGAAGTAAATTCTCGTACTGTGCAAAAGTTTTAGGCAGGTGTGGAAAAAATGTTGTAAACAGAGAATGCTTTCAGAAAGATAAATAATGATTGTTTATTTTTTATCAGTTTACAAAATGAGCGAACAAACAAACCAGCATCAATTCTCATAGGTACACTTGATCAAATTCAGGGATTTTGTAGGATTACAGTCAGGTGATCAACCAATTATACCAAACAGGTGCTAATGGTCAGAAACAGCTGTGTGAGAGACCTAAAACTGGGTGATGAACAGCCAAACTCTGCTACCAAGGTGAGGTTGTGAAGGACACAAGGTAGTTTTACTGCATCAGCAAGGTCTCTCCCAGACAAAGATTTTAAAGCAGACTGGGGTTTCAAGATGTGCTGTTCAAGCTCTTTTGAAGAAGCACAAAGAAACGGGCAACATTGAGGATCGTAGACGCCGTTGTCAGCCAAGGAAACTTAGTGCAGCAGATGAAAGACACATCAAGCTTATCACCCTTTGAAATCGGAAGATGTCCAGCACTGTCATCAGCTCAGAACTGGCAGAAACCAGTGGGACCCAGGTACACCCATCTACTG